AAAAGCGGAATAAATTCCACTGAGGCGACCCTACCTACGACCTCAGACAGAGGAGCTAAATTGTAAAAATCCTGCCGTTCCTTAACTCCGCGCTAGTGTTAGTGACCCGACAATAGACATGCAGGTACCGGCGAGCTTGAAGAGCTTGGGCCGCCTCCGGGGCAGGCGCTTCTTGGCGAAGTAGTCGGCCAGGCGCAGGTCGGGCGGCGGCTCGGCCGCGCCGGCGCCGCGCAGCGCCGCCAGGTTCACGCTCTCGATCTCCAGGTACTCCGTCAGCAGCAGCTGCAGCTGCGGGCAGACCGCGACGCCGGAAATGGTTTACTGCTGGCGACACTGCTACACTAACTTAGATGGGCGATTTGAGCTTGTTATACAATAAACGAAATTTTAAATCATCCGTGTGCTTTAGTTTTTTTACACCCACCCTAGGGCGTAATCTACTTGATGTTACATGTACAATGCCTACTCACTCTAAAATTGAATAGCCCCAAATTATGGCTTTCAGGAAACAAAGATGGCGGTAGTATATTCCATTTCTTTACCGTACGCGTCAGAGAAAAAGTAAAGAACTTCGTGAGAATGATGAGGAGTGCGTTCCGGACCTTCTGGTTGGCTCAAAGGTGGAACGGTAAAAATGGAAGTGGAGCACTTTCCTAAAAGTATCCGATAGAAAACCGACAAGCAAATCACTTTCTTCGATGCTCGAGATTAAATAACTTCAACTCCACAAGAGAGTCGTTGCTGACGTCCCTTTGCTTTTCGCTCCACCTTTATTTTGTTATCCTCCTAGGATACCTCTCCGCCGCGGGGGCAGTGGAGAGGTTATGTCGGACTCCTACCGGCTAAAACCTCACGGTGGCCTTCGTGTGCTCTACACGGATCACACGAAGGGTCGGGTGCTCTAGTGGAAGGGATCCGGCATCGACTTAGCGCACCGGAACCCCCAGTGCCTAGGAGGAGCTACGTCCTCCCCCTCCCCTCCTCACGACGAAACGTGCCACATCGCCCCGTCCTCCTCGCGGCTGCCAAACTTACTGGCGAATGGAGCCCCCGCTCCGATCGCCCGCAGCCGCATTTTCGCTCCACCTAGTCCAAGCCAGTAAACTGGTATCAGACAGAGCGGTCCCAACTGATAGCACTACTCATAAATATAATATTGTGTTTCTGCTGTTTGTTATTACAACATGGTCGGGCCGTTTTGCTATACACAGTAAAATATACCACACTAGTGACACCCCGAACTAATATAATAATAGTACTTATAATAATGCTTCTCAAATGAGAGGTGTACGGTTCGGATCCTTATAGCGGCACGACCAACATCTTCATTTTCACAGACACACACACAAACACAAACAAACAAACACACTATATATTAAACAATATTATAGTTGGTATTATCACAGACTATTTACTTACAACTTGTTGTACAGCACTCCAGTAATGTTGCTCCGTGTGTAGACTCGAGTCTGAATACTTGTGTTTTTGTAGAGCGGCGCGCCATAGTTGCAATAATCTAGAAGAAAATTAAATCTTTAAAAAAACCAATATCAGTCATAAGTCATAACTTGGCATTCGCATCTTAGCGTTTGGTTAAGTGACATTATCCTGAAAAAAGGTGTTACCTGACAACTGGTGGGTCTGTGTTCTAGATTATTTTCTGTAAAAATATGGAAACATTCACCAACCTCACTAGACATTTAGCCCTGCCTCAAAACATGGGAATAGACATTAAAAAAAAATAAGACACCACGACGATAGAAGCTAAAAACCTAAAGAATTTAGATTATGTTTAATCATTATTCTCCTAGCATAACTTGCAGTTCTAAAAATAGTATGTAATCTGAATGTGGTCAGCTGAGCCTCATTCAAAAGGAGTTTTTTGTTTTATCAGAATGAAGTATTGAATATCCACTGCTTTTTAAAGTAAGCTCCTTTGTTTAGCTGATGAGGTCAAATGATGTCAACAATTTGGCTAGATTGGTCTAAGAAGTAGTAGCTATTTTAGTACCAGTAGAGCTCCTTGTGAAAAAGTTCGGCAGGCTTATGGGAGACTGTACATGTTGTCTCTTTTTAAACCCTTAGCCATTGTCCGTATGGTTAATTTACCTCTTATTCCTAGCCGCACAAGCTCTAAATTCATCCGCCAAGTTAGCAACGAGCCTGGCCAAAGGTCGACCGCTTTCGGAGACTGTCTCGCTCTCCGGTGTAGCGCCATCCTCTTCGCACTCGTGGTCTGGGTCGATGTCCCCTTCTTCGATAATGCGACGAGAAACCGAGTCTATCACTTCGAGCAGTTCGTTCTGGATTTGGCATTTGAATTTCTGAAAGAAAAAGAAACTAAAAAGATGATTGCTTTTCACATAAGACCCGTTTTAATATTAGGAGGGGAGTTATCGATGCTGAATCGCAATAAACCCGTCAAAAAACTTTTAAGTTGTGCGTTTCGCATTGAACAAATACACACAGCGATACATTGCTGTGTATAGAAGTATACCTCAATTTAAATTTCTTTTAAGTTAATTATGTCATTGGCATTTATTATGTTACTCGAGCGATGTCAAAATTGCGACAAATTTATAGGGATCGGCGATCGGTCGCTGTCGAATTGTGACTCAGACAGTAAATGACACAAACTATAGTGATTTTTACCTGCTTCAGCAGTTTCATTTATTTATTCATTTCACATTTGCAAAATGACAGATTAAAATGTTCGCAGAAGCAAGAGTGGATTACTTTTGTACGACCACGTCTCTGGTGCGCCGGGTGAGGGCCAACCCCATCCTACCCTCGATAGCCTAGATAGATAGATAGATAGGCTCGACTATCCAGCAGTGTCTATTGTGTACAAGTTTGTACCCTACTAATATTAGTATTAAGTGGTTTACTAACAATTATATGAGTCAATGTTTAATAATAAAATCCAAGTCTCTACAAATACAGAAACAACACAAAAAACATACTTAATTAATACATATTATAGAACTGAATTGGATGCGAGCAGCACGGGATCGGCCGTTGTGGCGTTCTTTGGGAGAAGCCTATGTTCAGCGGTGGACGTCTTTCAGCTGAAATGATGGTGATAGAATCGAACCAAGACATCATTGATAACATTTACGACGAGCTACATTCATGTCATTAATTATAGTTCATTTCACATAGCATGGGTACTGTGACGTTGGAAATTTGAAGTTTCTAAAGATAGATAGTAATATAAAATTGATTTAAATATCTTATCGATATAATTTGTAGCGAAGAGAGAATCGATTAAGAAACAATACTTTAAGAACGACGAGAACAACCCAACTCTTTGATGATTCTTTTTAATACCAAGTGACGGGACGAACAAGGCGTGCGCCTGATGGTAAGCGACACGCCTATCCATAACAGTTGCAGTGCCATTCAGAGCTGTAAATCGCAAAGATCTTACGGGTAATGCCACTGCGCCCGTGACCCTGAAACTTAAGTCGACTAGTCCCATTTGCCTGTAATTTCACCAGCACCCTTACCCTTCAAAACCGGAACATTACTGCTTCGGAACTCCTTGGACGAACTCTTTCACAAGGAGCTCTACTGCTACGAAATAAAAAAAAAACTATATAAAAATCAAACCTGGAACCTTTGCATGTAAGTCCAGCATGGTAACCGTTCGGCCAGAGGCAAATATTATTTAAGAGTCACTAACTCACCTCAGTAGCCTCCCTCAACTGTTCGAGCACTCCCAGCGCCTCGAACGATATCATAACTGTTGTCTCAAATGTAACGTCATCTTCAGCCAGCGATGCTTCCAGCTCGGGCGTTATGTCCTGCAGGTATGCGTCTGTCACTTCCGAGGACTTCGTTAGTTCTGGAATAATAATAATAACAACGTGGCAGACAAACTGTAATAATCTGTGCTCGTAAGCCGCGGACCCCTCCCGCGTACCTACCCGCTCTTCTTGCACCGCATACGTGACACAAATCTTGCAATCGGTTTAATTTTAAACTAAATAAGTTCTATTTTGTTTGTTGGACAGCACATTACATACACTACATAAGTATTCTATGCATATAAGAGAACACAACATACTACATTACAGAAATATTTATGCAATTTATTTCTGTGCACTCGTATATCCGCGACACACACATACGGTACTCACTTGGTTTTAGGGTCCACTGAAAATCAGCGTCACAGCCTTTTCTCGGGGCGGTGACAAGAGCTGAGTGGAACGGACATACGCCACAGCCGCACACGACATTCACTCCAATTGTGTTAAATATTTAATGTTTGCTATGTTATGATTCCATTTTTTTGTTTTGTTTTAATTTTTTGTTTTAACTTGGTTTCGTCTTTCTTACTGTGTATTTTTGTGTTGTGGCGTAGTAACAAATTATTTCTATTCTATTCTAATCTGGTCTCAAACTAGAGAACTCCCTGTAATATGAGCATTAGAACAACCGAATCCACTCTGGGGCAATTTATTTTCGTTTCCCAAATTGGTCCTACCGGGAATTGCACCCTCAAACTCTTGGGCCACCGATATCGTTAATATAAGGCCACACCTTTACTTCCCAACCTCCGCAATAAAGTACTATATTTGCAAAATGTTAAACAATATCAAGGATCAATAACTCTAGACTGTTAAACGCGATACAAGACAGCGTTGTTAGGTATTTAGTACCTATTGGTAGACCAGATGTCGCGACGGAACTATTTTTGTAACTAATTTGTTTTATATTGACAAGCTGCAATTATCAAAGCTACTTTATTTACGTCTAGTGATCACAAACAAATCAACTAGATGGCGCTTTTTTAAATTTTTATTGAATGGATATTCAATTATTTTTTATGTGTAATTACTCCATTACTTTGTTATAATTATTAATACAACGATCGAGCACTCAGAAAAAATTCCTTCGATCCGGCCGGATTCGAACCGACGTCTTCTAGCATACCGTGCCAGAATACCAACTAAGCCACGGAACGAACCAGCGGACCTAACGAATTTTTCTATGTGCTTTGTTGTCCTGTCTTTGTATTTGGTTTTTCAATGAGTTTAAGCCGTAGCGCCATCTATGACAAATCTATGAAAGTATTTTGTCACCCAGTTAGATACCTTTCTTTACAGCTACCAGCCCCGGCTAGAGATGTCCTAAACAGATTTGTATGAGTGTTGCAACTCCTCTAACACAACATATAAAATAACAATTTTATGAAGTGTAAACAATGTACGAAAAAAAAGAAAATATAATGAAGGTATAACGCAATTAATATTAACAAAAAGTTATACAAGCCACTATCAACGCTATACGCGCGCATACAGGCTGTTCGAAATCAACATATAATGTGCCACTACTATCATAATATCATCTTTCACAGGACAACGCTATTGTAAACAGTTCATCGTATTGATAGATACCAGCTAACAGCAAAGCGATGCGTCGTCTGGCGGACACACGTCGCGACAACGGCTGGCGTTCGCTGCGGTACACAGCGTCGCTGAGACGCCGGACAATCACGTCCACCAGCTCGCGTTTCTTCGCCTGCACGAACAATGTTTAAATTCAATATCACACACATTCAACTCACAATTTGGTAGCACAGGTTACATAGTCCAATTCTAATTTCTTTATACTGGTTCCATTGATTTTCACGATGATTCTGCCAATGTCAGGGTTGAAAAAGACACTTTTACGTTAGTGTGACTCTGTGCGGTAGGATAGCCGGAGATCCGAAAAGCGATAACACAAATTATACATTCACATCACATGCATATATAAAGAAATAGAATAAAAGAGGGGAGTGGGTTATAAATACATATAATGACTATGTTATCCGTAACTACAATTTTGACAGAAAATAGGTTTTAATAGATAAGATAATTATAATTGAACACTGTTGATTTTAATTAATTTGGACAAGGTATTTACAAATGGACCATGTACTTGGGTAAGAAGAAAGGGTATGTTAATGGGACGAGGTATATTTTTAAGCAGCAAGTCATACATGTGGCCTTGTACATTTGTACAGTGGAAAAATATATGTTCCAAAGTGCCCTCCTCCAGTCTGAATTCACATCAGGTTACAAAGTCGTTTTAATATCTTCTGGTAGTCAATAACGCCCTTTCTCTGTGTCTCTGATGTCTCTAATTCCACTGTCATAACTGTACTCTGTACTCTGTGTACTTTGACGTCATATAATACATATCGCGCGTTCAAAACAATACCGTCACTACATAAAAATCTCGCTTTCTCTAATTTAAATTTACTTTCATAAGATTTAAAAGTCATTTCCTTAAGGTTGACTTTGACAGTATTGATTTCAACGTGCAATACACAGTGACACTCAGGGAACGGTTTGTAAATTACATTGTCTTGTAACAAGAGTTTTGTACGTTTCAACTTGTATAATGCAAAGGAATTACCTCCAAATGCTGCCTGGTGGCATTGAGTGCCGTGACGTGCGATAATGTGGTATCGGCTGTAGTCAAAGCAGCGCGCAGCGTATGAGCGGCAGCTAAAACTCGACCCGCTTGTAAAGATTCGCGGGTTTCTCGTTCCGACACCACCACTCGTTCACTGCAAAGTGATTTTAATATTCTGATACTCTTCGTTCAGGGGATTTCCTAAGATATTTGACAAGTATCTGAAAGTTAAATAATTTTCATTACTTATTTAAAAATAAATATCGAATGTTTAGGTAAAATTTCACGATTTTTGTTTTTTTTTTTCAAACAAATCACCATTTCGGGCTCATTACAGATCCGACGGTCTGCAACCTTGAAAATATTTATAAATAAAAATATTTATAAAGGCAAGGCGGCACCGACATGTCCGTGAGCATCTGCAGCGCGTAGTGGTGCGTGCGCGCGTCGGCCCACAGGCGGCGCAGGTCGTCGCGGCGCAGGCGCAGCAGGCCGCGGCACGCCGCCAGCCGCGCCACCGCCGACTCCGAGTGCTGCCCCCACGTCGTCAGCGCTTCGCCCACTTGCGTGAACTTCTGAGGACCGCAGTGCAATCGGTACGTTATGCTGTGCCAACGTGGAGGGACAACTACCGCACTCTTTATACGACCCCTATGCTGCCCTCGTAACGAAAACAGGCACAACTACAATAATAATAATAATAACGCACACACTCAGCATAGCCCCGCACTAGGGAAACCCTGTGTCGCGGGTGCCACGGACACTAGACTTGTGCCTAATCGGTCAAAAGAGGGAGCGATCCTAGTTAGCTCAATCGGTCAACTGAACTAGGTCAGTCTTCTTGTTCATTTAGTTCATTTAGTTCCTTAGTTAGTTGTCAATAATTTAATAATTTTATTATTTATATAATTATTTAATAATTTTAAAATTCCATAGTTAGTTCGTCTTGTCCTTGCTCGGACACTGAATGAACGCTACAAACTAGTAATTTTATTCACATGAACTACGACGGACTTCTGGTATATTATGAGGTCAATAGTACACTGCATTCAATATTTAAAAATACAATTCGTATGGAATCGGTACTATTGGATTTTCCTTCATAATTTACAGGTTTAAAGATTGTTATTCTCACTAAATATCCTTTTTTTAAAAAAAAACAAGAATTTTAGTTACAACGGTGTATTTAAAATATTATATTACAATATTTAGGTATTGACATACAACTATTTCGTATACTCGTACATGTAGGTTGATATTATAAATACAGATATTTACCATACCTACCAAAACATATGGGCACTTACTTTTTTGCAAGCTTACATATATACATAATGTAGATACGTATTAGAGAAGACTTAGAACTAGCGACTTAGAACTGGCAACGTTCAATCGTGCATCCTACTCGGACTTGTACTAAAAGCAGGAAAGATCGCTATTTGTCCCGCTCGCACCGTTCCTACTGAATAAAAGACGGGTGAACTATCAACGCAGACAGTTCCTAGTTCGTTCTGAACTAAAAAGAACGATTAACTATTAAAACCGTACAAGACGAACTAGTTAATGTCGGTCAGTGTCGGGAATATATTCCTAATAGTTCGTAGTTACACATGTCTATGTCTAACCACAAATTACACCCAAACTCACGAGAGAAATAAATGTAGGCCATACAATTATTTCTCCCGGCCCGGGAATCGAACTTGGGACCTCTGCGTGGCAGTTCGGCATGGTAACCGTTCGGCCACAGAGGCAGTAAGTACTATGCGTACATTTTATTTATTTATTTAGATACACCATCGGCACAAACATAGAGAAATTTCAATGTTATAACATTATAATCTTTTATACAGTATGTTGTACCATTCCAGGCATACACAGCATTTACAAAGAAAAAAAAAACTTTAATTTAAAAAAGCAAATAGAAACAAAAATACTGTACAGAAAAAAAAAGAACAAATCTAAAAAAATATTAAACAATATAAAACAAAACCCCTGAGACGTGGCGTCTTACAGCAGTTGTGCCTTTTTTCGTTCCGAGGGCAGTATGTTACTTCAAAGGATGATTATACACACAGTATTATTTCATAAGTAAGCAAATTATACATAAAATCGTCAAATGGATTGAACACTACTACTCACTCGTTAGACAGTTCCCTTGAGAAAAACGAGTAAAGAATCTGTAGGGGTCGCTCTATGTACATAAGTATTTGTTCACATTTTATCAATAACATTAGACCATAACAAATATTATTATAAGTAGTAGCAGTAGAGCTCCTTGTGAAAGAGTTTATCCAGGGAAGTACTGCCACATTACCTATTTCTGCCACCAAGCAGTAACGTGATTATTACTGTCTTCCATTAAGGGTACTGTTGAAATGACAGGCATATTGGACTTGTCAATTTATGTCTCAGGGTGAAAGGCGCAGTGGTGGTATACCTGAGATGAGAGACGGGCATGTCGCTTACCATCAGGTGCACGACCTGTTCATCCCACCACTTATTATTATTAAAAAAAGTAAACTTTGCCCGAAGGACAAAAAATTTACAACTACTATTTTTAAAAGTTGTCATCACTAAGTGTCATAATTAATACCTGTATAACATCCATAATCTCCTGTGCATGAGCAGCAACCAGTTCATCAAGTCTTGCATCACTCTTCTTGTACTCCTTTTCTAATTTCGCTCTCTCCTTCTCGCGCTGTTCATTTGTCTCACTCGCCGAGAGTGTGCGGATCACTGACATTAACAAACCACTCTGTTGGAAAAAAAAATACACATAACACTTAAGATTATGATCCTTAAGTTCAACTTTTCAATTACCTACCACTAAAACTAGGGCTTGCAGAAGCAGTCCGGTTCCTAAAATTTTGATTCTTGGTGTTCAGCTCAGTACCGATACTCACGGTATACGCAGTACTTCTTGAAAATCTTAAACTATAACCAGTAAGTATGCTTTTTCTGGGTTATCTGTACCTATTCAATAATTTACGTAATAACAATATTATAAATAATAAAGAAAAACTTCATTCTCTAATCAAGTTAAAGATTTTTTATTCAAAATATCTATTTGAGAGATAATTACTGTTAAATTTAACATGATATACCATCGTATAATCACATTACACTTAAGTAATAAATTTAAGTAGCATTATAATGGTAGTAACCTATCAACCTCCTGGTTATGCGCAAAGGGCACTATGACCTGTGCAAGCGCACAGGCACCATCTAAGTCAGGTCGTAACTCTGGATCAGCACGTTTGCAAATACTTCATCCGGTTCTCTGCGAGGCTAGTGGCTTAGGTGTGCCGTCCTGGGTGCACATACAGGACCGTCTCTATTTGTCAGATACTTCTTACTACACTTCCCGTAACTTTCGCACAATGAACGGTTGCTGCCGACTCTATGCCGACTCATTGGTGGCGGAGCTGTAAGGCATGCCCTTTCCTGAAGCCGAATGAATGGCGTCTCTTCAGTTCCCCAATTCCTATGCGGCCGGAGGGGCCGGAAGCTCTCTGGGCTAGTGCCGGAGATGCCAAGTGGCAGTGTCCTGCGAAAATGTCCAGACATAGCCATCAACTTAAAGGGCAACTCACGTACCCCTCGCATCTCCTCGCCTCAGGCCCTCAACTAGACCGCTACTAAAACGTGCTAGCTGCGCGAGGGACGACCGCCCCGGTCACACACTACCGGAGCAGACAAACGTGTTCGTCCCTGCTGCTGACCACAAACTCCGGTGAGTCCATACCCAAGCCCGGGTCCGCCAGAGACACCCGTGAAGACGTATAACTGGCGGAGGGCTTGGCCCGGACGCCCGCCGTACCCTGGTCTTGCCGTCGAGCCTGTAGTCTCTCCGGAAAACCGTCTCTCGGGTCAGTATATAGGAACGTACAATGTGTCAGTGAAGATGACTATATTATACCGACAACTACTTTTATCTCATAAAAACTTAGACCATAATTATTGTATTGTTGTTTTGGTTATTAGCCAAGACTTATTTTCGAAATTATCTTCTATGCCGTAATTTTTAAAGGCATTACATTAACGACATGAATCGTGAAAGCAATATTTGGGATCAATTAAGTCTTCTCGTGATTACTCTGAAGATTGCATTCGGAAATTGAACATTGACAGGAGCTTACCGTTTCTTTTCCTTGCTTCACCCCACGAGGGGGTTTTGTAGGAGGTGGCGAGGACATTGTTTACTTATTTTCTGAAGTTTATACAAAGGAAACAAACAAATTATTACAGTAAATACACCGCCCCCAAAAATTACAATGAAATCAAAGGTAAAAAATTGTATATTTCTATGTAATAGTCTTTACTATTTATATTGGATTAGAAAGAGAGAATAATTTTATATAGGCAAATAAAAGACTTTTCTACTTCTGTTGTTCGATTGAAAACGTAAAAAAGGTACCAATGAAACACGATACTGTCACATTGACGTTTTGAATGTTCGGATACACATATCAATCGGCAAGAGGGTGTCGGGTTCGTTGATTAGACGATAAATCTTGGTTCGATGTCACAATTTTACGATATATTAACAGCCACGATATGGCCATGATAGATATAACTTCTTTTAGTATACTTTATAATGACTTTTTATTAACTTTTTATTAATAGTACAATGATATTATACTTGTAAATGGTAAGTCAGAATTATTTTTATGCATTAATTTATGGTAATAAGTAAGAAAACAATTTTTAGAATAGTGGCAGCTATTTTATTTATAAATAATATTTTTGCAAACGTTAATAAGGCTTAATCTTCACTTTGCATAGAACTGGTATTATTTATGACGGAGATGTATACATATAGTTTTCGAGCCCTATACCTCACCTATGGTGGGGTCGGGCTCGGCTTGCAGCGCGTGTTAGAGTTCAAATTACGGGGAGTGCATTATGTTCTTCGGTGGCACAGCGATTAGTACTATGGGCGGTTGATGAGGAGGTTCCAGGTTCGATTCCCGATTTGAGCCAATTTATGAAACAAACATTTTTAAGTTGGTTCTGGTCAAGTATTCTGGGTATTGCCCTCAGAGTTATTGTTACTCTGGTACTCATACTAAAAGTAAGTAACTTAGTTTGAGACCAGAAATTAGGTGTGATCGTCTGGCATTATTTCAATTAATATTTCTCATTGGCATAGCTTCCAAGAAAACACAAGACACTTCGGGCTCCGCCCTCCGCTGGAGCCTCGGCCTACGGCTTCAGCACTTATGACTTTGTTTTAATAAATTAACATACCTCTTTAATGGCGGCCATATTGAAAATTGCCAAAAAGTAAATTTTGACTGCAATTTATTATTGAACACCCATAGAGAACGAAAAAAAGAAAGAAAATTTTCAGTCAAATTAGAGTAAATTTTTATTATTATTAAAAAGTTTGTAATGGCAAAAAATGTAAATGGCAGCATTACTAAAAAATGATGAAAAATTATTTTGGATCGTAAATTATTATTAAAACCCATAGCGACCCCTACATGCCGATTTTCAGTCGAATTAGAGCAATAAATATCTGCCGCCGCTAAAAAACGCTTGCATGTTGAAAAATGGCGAAAAACTAATTTTGAATACAAATTATTATCTAGCACTCCTAGAAACCCCCACATGCCCATTTTCAAAGTGATCAGAGCAAATTTTTGCCGCCAACGAATGCTTCTATGGCGGTCATATTTGAAAAAGGCGAAAAATTATTATCAGGCACTTTTAGAGGTCTCCGGAAGCCAATTTTTAACCGAATCAGAGCAAGTAAAAAAAAGCAAAACAATTTTTGACTCCAAATTACGATTAAGGACTTCTAAATACTTGGTACTATTAGTAGTTTGTGCTTGGTACCCCGTATGCCAATTTTCAGCCGGATCGTAGCAAGTTTTTCTTCGGCCGCCATTTTGAATTCGCCATCTTGATTTTTTTGTATAACAACCGCTGCTTAGACAGTTATTTGATAATGAGTTTCACATTGCATAAGAATAATGTATTACATTACCTGCTATTATAATAATGACCACTTCTGACACTTACATTTTTTACGTGTATCCGAAACTATCAAATGTCATTGTTTAAATTTTGAAAGTTCGTTGCTACCTACTTTGCAAGTTTGTGAAGTAAACATTTTTGAATAGGAACTGTTTAAAGTGCTTTGAACATAACTAAATCACCACAAAATTAAGTAGACTAGTGTGACGCACTTACCATGGATTACTCTACAATAAGCAACAAGACCACTTTTACCGAAGCGGAAGAACTCACAAATGGCGAACTTGGCGAAAGGTATTACTTGCTCAAGAAACAGTTTGAAAGTCTGTCTCTCACGTATGATTCGTTGAAACAAGAGCTACATGACACGAAACGTAGTTACCTGATTGCTCTGGACACACAGAGTCACCTGACGGTCGAGTTAGAGACTTATCAATCTGATGAACAACGACGATCAAAGGAGCTAAATAACCGTATCACAGCTCTCCAAGAAGAGATATCTGCGTTACGGGAAGCTCGTACAGAAGCCAATGAACGTCATACAACTGAAACGATGAAGTTGGAAGACGAGATCCGTCGTTTAAAAGAGGAAAAAGCAACTCAAGTGTTAAGAAAGAGTCCGGAACGTGATAATTCAGAATTAGAAGATGCTAAGTTGGCTTTGAAGGATGCATTATGCGATGCATCGACAGCGAAACTGGCACTTGAAGAAGCGAAGGCAGAGATCATGTCTTGGAGGGAGAGAACAGAGGAGCTAGTGAATGAGATTGGAGAGATGCGGGTAGCTGCGGATATACGGCGGGAGGAGCTGAAGGCCGCGGGAGAAAGGGAGGCGACGGCGCTGGCAGAGCTGGCTGAGGCCAGGGCCATGTTGCACCAGTGTACTACTGCAGACTCACAGCCTCATGGTAAAATAACTATAGTGAAACTATTGTCTTGTCCATTATTTAGTTCATACTGATTGACTGCATAAGTAATGTGATTTGACTGGATAATGGAATATAGGTCTTCTTGTATTAAATGTCATGGCCCCATCAAAATAATTGATGATTTCACCAGTGTCAACTAAAAATTACTACATACAGTAGTTAAAAATAATATTAAAATAATGGTGAATGACGCCATTAGCAAAGCCAATTGGTCTTGCAACCGCCATCATCACTTGGAATATAGGTCATAGAGAAAAATTGTGGATGGCTGACATTTAAAAATTTTGAATAGTTGAAGGATGCAGTGATTGAGTACCTCAAAACTTTGTGATTAAAAGCTTTTAGTGGCACTGTAATTGATGTGGATTGGTGTGTTAATTGCCACCACACTTGCACCATGTTAATTCAATCCATATAAATAAGCATAAGAATGAATTACAGAGTTTTCTATTATGTTTAATTCTCTGGGGCAAAAATGTGTTAACTCCTATCATTTTGCCTAAAATTTCAAGAGCACAGTAACGGTTGTAAAATAATATTAAACATTGTGTTGACAGCTGCTAAAGGCAACTCCATCTTCGCTGAAGTGGAGGACAAGAGACAGGAGATGGCCGAAAACCTCATCCACATGAAACAGAATAATTCTGAGGTAATTATTGTCATACATTACATCTAAGTTATATTGTTGCCTTGTATATAATAAGCAATATAATAATATTTATTTAGTGAACAATTTACATCATTAATGTACGTTATACTAAAGAACTTAAATACAATAGTTTGTGCAATGTACTCTTCAAATAGATGAAGCCACTACAGTTGTAGTACAAAAGTCGAATTGTTAACATATAAAATAAAGAGTGGCTCCTAGTTAATTGCCAAGAAAGGGTCCTCAAAAAGAAACAACCAATATAGGACAAACTTGTGTTAAAGACTGTTCATAACATGCCAAGTCAAACCAAATACAAAATAATTATATGTAAAATTTACAATGTGTAAATTATAATGTGTAAATAAAGTATTAATACGTTTTTATTTTATAATTTTAAATTTTTACCATCTTAAATATGTTTAGCTTTTCTAAATTTGTTTTACTTACAGCAATTGTTTTTAATTTTTGCCTGTTTTGTGAGGAGGAGTACAGTAACAGCCACCAGATTTACTCTTTCCATATTCAGGCACATCTTGGTCTAAGCAAAATAATGATGACATTGTATAAGAAAGTATAAATATGCATGTAATAAATCAATATAAATAAGTTTCTTAATTACAATATAATCAATCATCTACCAACCAATGACAATACCTTACACTACAGTAGTATACACTGACTTTGGCTACTTTCACCTGCACTTTAGTATAGTTTTCATGTAGTGTTGCAAGTGGACTTTATATTTATAAACAAACTTAAAATGTGCACTTTTAGTGCACTGTGGAAACACTGGCAAATTAAACATTTTTAATGAAATTGATGGAAAATACAACTCTGAACTTAAAACCAGACAGCATAAGAGAAAGTAACTGCCAAAATTTGGAAAACAAAGACAGGCAAAAAGTGAGACAATATTTCATAAAATGAATGTAAAAAAAAAAACTAAAATTACAAAGGAGGCTTCATTACAGCTGGTCGCCAACATCTAGGTTAATAATAATGTAGTATGTATAATAAACATAATGTCACTAACCACTAGTTTATTTTGTTTACAGCTACGAAGGCAACTAGCAAGTAAGCAAGCCGAGCTGGATGCACTCTTACACGAGAAGAACACTATCTGGGATCAGCTGATAGGGGCTGCAGCTCATCATGACCGCGAACTTATTGGTAACATAATGAATTAGGACATGCACTATCTAATGTTTCCAGTTTTATATTTAAGAGGGTACCAGAAAGACTCAAGATATGAAACAAGTTTATAGACAATTTTGAACACAGTAATGCATAACCACACACATCTCACAGATATTTTTTTTAATTTGATATTTCGAAGCAGTAGAGCTCCTTGTGAAAGAGTTCGTCCAGGGTAGTACTGCCACTTTACCTGTTTCTGCCGCCAAGCACTAATGTCGGCATTAAATTACAGGCAGATGGGACTTGTCAACTTAAGTCTCAGGGTGACATTCGCAGTGGTAGTGCCCCTCAGAGCTTTGCAATTTAAAGCTCTGGCGCACAACTTGATCGTCCCATCACTTGATGTTATAAAAAAAAGATAGTTTTTAAATGTTTGTATGAAATTTGCAAAAATATTGGCAATATTGCCCCTTACAGCATTAAATTTAAGACTTTGTCAAAAATTTATTATCCACATGACAATATAGAACATGAAATACCAAATCAAACCATGTAAATGATTTTCTTCAAAATTCTAATATCCACCCAATTACACCAATTACTTGGTTTCAAAGTAGGAAATACCCTATACCACGAGAACTAGAGTAACAGAATCCACTTCAGGAAATTACTTAGACTCTGGGACCTCATCATCCAGCACCCATAGTGCAAATCTGCCACTGGACGACATGACTAACCAATTCAACGTAGTTAATGCATGTGGGTTGTTTAGTAAATACTCTAGAAACGTCTGGATAACTCTGAAGTGTCAATGACTGCAGAGAGTTACGAGGAGCGCATAACGCAAGTGGAGGGCCTGTGCGAGCGGCAGCGGCGCGAATTGTGCCGCTGGTTCGGCAAGCTTTGCGAGCCCACCTCGCCGGGCTGGCTGCCCGCCGTGATGGAACATCTCAAGTAAGCACCTGCAGATTGTGAGGTCACTATTCATATACACCGAGCTGGCAGTTTCGAGTATGCTACAGACGGCCTGCTTGCGCGAAATCGATATTATTCAGCATGCAGTCAGTTTCGACACTGAATGCAAGTAGGAATACTTCCCAAAGAGTTCTCCAAATCAAATCATTTTATTCGTCATCATGGGTACAATAAAGATGATAACATTTATTTTATGGTCGCCATGACGTACCATCAAGGCATACGAATTATACTATTATTATTAATTATACTTGTCCAATACTTCCAAATAATAATAATAATAATAATAATAAAATAACACTAATAATTATCATTAAATAGTCATAAACAATTGATTATAGGCTTCCACCTTCACAGGATCAAGTCTTAAAATCTACAACAGTTAGGACATCAAAACAAAAGTTATAAATCAATCAATAAAGTAAATAAATCAATGGCATACAGTCACGTTCGTCTCAATAATAAATAATAAATTAATTAATGTGAAATTAGTTAGTAAAATTCCTTTGATGTATAAAATGATTTTTCAATTAAATACTCAAATAATGTGCGTTTAAATTCCGCGAAATTTTCATTCTGCCTTAACTGTAATGGCAATTTATTATAGATTTTTGGTGCCATTGCAATTATACTCTTCTCAAATAGTGACGTTTTACAATTTATTTGGCGTAGTTGGTTAGGACGTCGTGCTCTTGTAACTACAGGAAAAAGTTGGTGTCGTCGTATAAATAAGGCTGTTTCATACATATATAATGAAGGCAAGGTCAAAATTTTTACTTCTCGAAAATAGTTTCTGCAACTGTCGGTCTGTTTCAGTTCACAGATTGCCCTTATCGAAAAACTTGTATTATGTTGCTACTATTACCCCAAAATAAGATACCATATCTGAGTGTTGCACCTACATAGCTGTGGTAAACTACAAGTAAAGCGTTTTTGTTTACCACCTTAGACAATTGAAAGAGAGCGTATGATTGTTTCGATAGCTTGTTACATATTATTTGAAGTTGTTCCTCCCATTGCATTTTCCTATCAATGTGAAGTCCAAAGAATGTGGTTCCCGATGTTTTACCGATAACACGAGAGTTATAAATTAATTTGTTTGTCAAAGTCTTCCAGGGAAGCACTGCCACCTTACCTATTTCTGCCGCCAAGCAATAATGTGAGCATTACTTCATGTGAGCGTTCCGGTTTAAAAGGGTAATGGTGCTGGTGAAATTACAGGCACATGGGACTTGTCAACTTATGTCTCAAGGTGACGGTCGCAGTGGTAGTGCCCGTCCGATCTTTGCGGTTTAAAGCTCTGAGTGGCACTGCAACTGTTATGAACAGGCGTGTCGCTTACTATAAAAAAAACACAAATTATCGCCATGTGACTAGCTCAGGAGCTTGTGTATTTGTTAATGTCGTAATGGAAGCATAGATGTTACTTGTGGCTTCTCACTGTCTTTAACATTTATGATTTCAAATGCAGACTTTATTTTTTATTAAAGACTTAGACGTTACTCTCGAATTTTAATTTGTTAACAAATTTGCGTCCGTAATTTGTGATCAAAAATGTAAACAAAAGTGCGATTACAGAAAAAAAAAATAAGCACGTACAAATATGAAGTCCATGGAGAAAAGTTTCTCAAATCGTTTTTTTCTTTTACCTTTACAATGATTAAACCCAGATCAAGTAACGAGGTATGTAAAATGTTGAATAAATATGGAATCGTACATCAAAACTCTATAAGGTACACGCCTCAACAAAACGGTAGGGCTGAACGGGAAATGCGCACAATTGTAGAAGCTGCCAGAACAATGTTGAAAGCAAAGTCAATGACCAAGAGATTTTGGGCAGAAGCTGTGAATACAGCCATTTATGTACTAAATAGAACTGGCCCAAGTCCCGTAAAGAAAAAAACACCGTTTGAACTTTGGACAAACAAATCAGTTGATTTTAATACTTTTCAAGTTTTTGGCAATCGTGTTTCTTTTCACATTCCGAAGGAAATTCGTAAGAAGTGGGACGATAAGAACGCGATTGGAATATTTGTGGGATATGAAGAAAATGTAAAAGGATATCGTGTTTATGTTCCTGAAAAAGACGATGTTATTTTGACCAGGGATATAATTTTGCTGTCAAATACAGATATCGAAGAAACAAAGACGGAACGGCCGAGTTCACGCGTAATTGACTCTACTGATAGTAATAATTGTGAAATTGAGGAAAATGAAAAAGAAGTAGAGGTTGAAAGGATGGAAACAAGAATAAATAATAGTCAACTCGAAACAGTTACCAACGAAGAATCTGTAGAAACAATTGATATCGAGCAAAGTCAACAAAGCGAACAAAGGAGATTGAGAGATCGTAGTAAGATTCGACCACCACAAAGATATGAAGACTCAGAAATGTATAGTGTACTTCATTTTGCCGAAGTATTTGAACCTAAGTCTTATGAAGAAGCAATTAACGGCAATGAAGCTGATAAGTGGATTGATGCAATGGAGAAGGAAATATCATCCCTTGCGGAGAATAACACGTGGACTGTTGTTCCCAAGCCGGCTGATTGCAAGCCAGTTGATACCAAATGGCTTTTTAAAATAAAGAAAGGCGAAGACGGAAATAAGTTTTTTAAGGCGCGTTTAGTAGCTCGTGGTTTCAAACAAAAAGAATTTGTATCGGCATCCGAAGTTTACTCGCCGGTCGCACAGCTCACAACTTTCAGAATGTTTGTTGCAATAAGTGTGAAATTGGGAATTAAACAGCATCAAATGGACGTCTGTACGGCTTTCCTTAATGGTAAGATAAATGAACTTGTGTATGTGAGTTTGCCTGTGAATTTTAATATAGAAAGTGATAAAGTATGTAAATTAAATCGAGCTCTGTACGGTCTTAAAAAGTCGCCTAAGTATTGGTATGACACATTAGATGACACTTTAAGAAAATATGGTTTTACAGCCAGTAAAAATGATTATTGTTTTTATTATAAAGTGAGTAACAGTATTAAAACTTATTTCCTGGTGTACGTCGATGATTTCCTAATTATGTCGACAGACAATAATGAATTGCTCAATATAAAGAACTATTTACAGAAATGTTTTAAAGTTAAAGATCTAGGTATTGCTAAGTGCTATCTTGGCATAAATGTGTTACAGAACGGTGACCATACAGTTTTAAGCCAAACAGAATATATCGCAGGATTATTACGGAAATTTAACATGCATGAGTGTAAGCCGGTGTCCACACCGATGGACCAAAGTGTAAAACACAGTTTACTGAAATTACATATGTCTGAAAACGAAGCCATCGAAATTAAATGTAGAAAAGCTATCGGTGCAATTATGTATTGTATGTTAGCCACGAGACCAGATTTAGCTAATAGTATGTCAATACTGAGTCGTTACCAATCTTGCGCTTCTGAAGAATTATGGACAGCTATTAAAAGAGTTTTACGTTATTTAAAAGGAACTATGGAGTTAGGGTTAATATTTCATAAAAAATATTCTGATTCTTTTATTGAAGGTTATGTAGATTCAGATTGGGCAGGTGACCTGCTAGACCGTAAGTCTACAACTGGTTACGTATTTAAAGTTTTTGGGTGTACTGTAAGCTGGCTTTCTAAAAAGCAACAGTGTGTAGCTTTATCGTCTACTGAGGCTGAGTACATGGCACTCAGTCAAGCTTGTACTCAAGCTGCGTGGTTATGTAAAATGTTAGAAGATACATTCTTGTATGATAAAATGCCTAGCACAATTTTGTACGAGGATAATCAGGGTGCAATTAAAATAGCTGAGAGTTTAGATTCAAAGCGTCTTAAGCACATAGATATTAGGCACAATTATATCCGAGAACAAGTACATAAAGGAGCTGTCGTTTTGAGGTACATTGATAGCAAGGAACAGTTAGCCGATATCTTTACAAAACCTCTTGACAGAATGCTTTTTGAAAAATTTAGAATAATGCTAGGGCTGTGTTGAGTTCAGTTTTGTTTATAAGTAAGAGGTCCCCCCCCTTACATTTATTAATTAAGTTTTCATTAAGAGGGGGTGTTAGAGGTAATGAAACCTCATTTGAGAATACCTGCGTGTATGTGGAGTCGGGTAAAAAAAAGGAAATACTTTGACTCCTATCATTTTCAAAATGTGGAACCAATATAAAATGTATAAGATTTTTGAATAAAATATTTAATAATTACTTCTCGGGCGTGAGTGTTTTCTTTCAGTTATCATTTGCCGTTATTGAAAAACATGAAGCTGTTCGAGACGCAGAAAAAAATCATATATCATCTCAAAAATGTCAATTGCTGCCTTTAATTCTCAGACTAACGTTCACAAGGACTGCAGTCGAGTCTTTGCAGTCGTAAGCGTTAATTGCAGTATATCCGTTAGCAACTTCAGTAGCAGGTGTTAGGTTTTACTGTTTGACAGGCTTGTAATAGCAACGCTTCATGATGTGTAAATTTAATTATATTTGTCGCTTCCAGGTCGGAGTGCGAGCAGCTGCGCGCAGAAGTGCTGTCGCGGGGCGCGGCGCAGCTGGCCAGCGCGGCGCAGGTGCGGGAGCTGCGCCGGAAGATCTTCCAGCTCACCGCCTCGGGGGCCACGGGGGCCACGGGGGCCGCCACGCTCCTGCAGACGCTCGACACCGACGGCAATGCCCGCGAAGCGGAGGTCATTGACGAGACGATCTGTCAAAAAGATGAAACGAGGCCGCCTCCGCCACAGACGCAATCGAGACCCATTCGGGTTACCGCCCCCAGTGACGCGAAGAAAAAAGTCCGATTTTAGTGTATACAGTGTTGTGCCCTTAAATTTGCGTACTGTTTCCTCAGACGGCGTCGTATCAAGCTACGCACTAAATATAATAAGCGATATTCGAACAAACTGTATTACTTGATGTGGTATTGACTGTACAGTGACTGTAATTGGACGTAAGCAAAAAGGAACCAATCCACAAACTTATCAAAAAATGAGTTATATGTACTACCAAAAGGTTCCTAAAGTCTAACCTCTTAGATCAGCACAAAACAAAGCCTACATATAAACATAAATAAATATATCCAGGGAGTCACATGACATTATAAGTTTTGAAAATAAAACTAGAGAGAAAATAATACAACAATAAAACTTGAAAGTGACTGGACGTGCATTGAATCCTTTTTGTTTAACCACGTCCAATTAATCGTAGTGTTAATGCAACCTGCTTCAATTAGGTGGGAAAAATAACTTATTAAGCACAATTAATTTAAGGTATAATAGGAAATTTCAGGAACTCTACACGCCGACTGCGAAGTGGTCACCGTATAAAATTGACAACGGGTGTCGTGCTCGGTAGTGTAACAAGTAATAGTACATTATTGCAAAGGCCGAGAAGTAAGGGATTGCTGGACGAGTATGAGTTACAAGGCCTCGCTGGCGCCTGAGACGCCTTGTATTAATACGAGTCAAGCAATCTCTGTTTCCGTCGAGTCTTATATAGTGGTTTTCTCAAACAATGTGAGGAAATAATAGAAGACTAACGAGAAGAAGATATACATATAATAGAAAAAGTAAAAAAAAAGGTTAATTAAATTTTTATTGAATTGATATTCAATTATTTTTTGTGAAATTACTCCACTAGTTTGTTATAATTATTAATACAAAGATCGAACACTCGGAAAAAACACTCAGAAAAAATTCCTTCGATCCGGTCGGATTCGAACCGAAAAAAAAAGGTTAATTAAAATGAAAAATAATTTTTGACATAGTTTTTGCAGGCATTTTCGTTATCGCTCATCTCTAGAACTTATTTTCGCGACGACCATAGAAAAAAATCAAAAAAAGCAGAAAAGAATACCAAAGCACATTAGTTTATTTTACCGCCTTTTTTTAAAAAGATACGATTAAATTACGTGGCAATTACGAACACTTGGCAGTTGGCTGTATGAGTTTTTCTTTAGCCTGTTTACATAGTTCATTATTGGTAGGTAGATTTAAAAGCTTAGAGAAGTGGACAGTCTTAGAGTATATAGGACGGGAGGCGATATTAGCATTATTTCTCGAACAAAACTGCCACTTTTTGAGGGGCGGGGGGGTAGTACTACAAGCAAACAGGTGCACTCAAATGTAAAATTGAATTGTGTCACTATGCTCACACACAAACAAAGTCTACAACACTAGCTTATTTTTACAAATATCTGTATACAGTTAAAACACACATTCATATCACGTCCGTACACAGAATAGGCCTATAAAAATAAATCGATTCTCATGAATATACTAGGGACGGAAAGTTATCGACGGGACGGTGTCGATATGTATTACGTACTGGTTAATCTTGTATATGAAAAATTTAATTTCACCCTTGGCTAGACTGGATGTAGTGAACTTCTTTTTCCAATTTTGTGTGTAGTGTAACAGTGGTATTGTTTTACTTGTATTTGCCAGAGGAAATTGCCTATTGACTTACCAATAAATGGATGACAATAAATACAATCCGAAATCTAATCCAAAAACCGCGAAAAAATGTCCGGAGTTTTTTAAATTGCCTATTGATTTACCAATAAATGGATGACAATAAATAAAATCCAAAATCTAATCCAAAAACCACGAAAAAATGTCCGGAGTTCTTTTCGCGGTCAGCGTTGGAGCCAATGACAAGCATGGCCGAAATTAACTTTTACAAACGTAGATACATGTATAGAAATATTTAAAAAACTAAAACATTTAATTTAAACAGTAAAGTCACTGCAGTATTGCTTAATTTTGTTTGCCACAATTTAGAGGCCCAAAAATTATCCATATTCAGCTTCTTCTGGAAATAACAAAATGCACCATATTTAGCTTCTAGTGAAAACTACTTGAACACAAGAGCGATGGAGTAGTCTTAATGTCTATATTAATTAATTTTATCGTATTATGTTGACTTTTATATGAATTCACTTCAAGTAATAAGAGTTGTGCAGGTAGTTTCATAATCTCGAAAACCTATTTATAACAAAACCGTTATGCTTTCAGGGGATTTTGGTTGCTTATTACAAAGAAATGATTAAGTTAGTTTGTTTTGTAATATTCCTAAAAAAACCTAAAAAAGTACATTACAAAAATTCGAGCAAACATTACTTCGGGCAAATGTATTTTCGGACTTCTGATATAACTCCAAACAGTACAACGAATACAACAATCTTTTCGTCATTTAAAAAATAAGATTAACATTAATTCAACTCTATAGTTTCTTTGTTCTAAACCTAAATATTTCAATCGCTTGTGGTTCGAAAATTGAAATTGACGTAACAGGTCTCTTTCTGTCTTTTTCGCATGTCTTGTGCAGGATAAGGACAGTTAGCTATTTGGTTATTTTTATTGCTTTTGTAATTTATGTGTATTGTATGTATGTTCTCGTATACTTTTTATTTTTATTTTTTGATTTATGATGATTTATATTAAACAATTACAATTTATTTTCATTATTTATAATTTATTAGATTGTTATTGAATATACATTACGACGGAGAAATCAATTTGAATAACTTCGTTACATAATCTGTCGATAAAAATAGGAGCTAAAAGAGCGCGTCGCTTCTTTATAACCAAAACATAGCGTCCATGAAGTATGTCAAATGTTCGAATGTTTTAAAATGTTTTTCAAGTCATCGTAAAATAGAAAATTAGCAATTAATGTAAAAAATTGGCTTAAGTATGGAATGTAATTCCACCCTAGACTGGATGCAGTGGAGATTTTTTGCAAGTTTGTATAGCGCAAGACGACATTCGTTGAGTACTTGACGCGGTGAATTCGGTAATGGAAATGAAAAAACATCGATTTGAAAGTAGTGTTTATTGTGCGATAGTTGTTTTGTGGTTGTACCTTGACAGAGGGGATTGCCTATCGATGACGCCTCCAGTCCTATATGTTCTAAGTGGACAGTTATGGATTGTCATACATACTTTGCAGGCCTTGGCCGGGAAGAAATCGCATGGTCTATAACTGACACATTTCCGATCACGTTTGAGAAAATATATTTTATAGGTGCTAATAAAGCTTAAATTTTGACATTGGTCTATTATTTGGGGTTACTAGGAACTTAAATGAAGAAATACACCGAACAAATGGATTGCGCGGTTACCTATCAGTAGTTCGAAATGACATTTTCCAGAAATAACGATTGTTCGAATTTTCATAACTTCGAAAGTAATTTTGGGGAAAATATTTTTCTTTTAAACCTAACTTAACCTAATCTAACCGAACCTAATCGTGTCTTTGCGATAAACATCCAACATATCCCGATTTCGTTATAATTCGGTTTTCAATGTAATGAAAATTCGAACATACGTTATTTCGGAAAAAAAAATCGAGTTTGTGATAGGTTACCGATTGCATTGTGTAACATTTAAAACGCTATACAAAAGAGTCACGAAGACACATCGTTTCCTTGATTTGTTTATTGATCGGTCCAAGACAGAACTGACTATCAAAATATATTGATAATTGAACACGCTACTTCCGCGCACTGATCTCGGGAAGGTAGCGACGACTCGGGTCGCAGTCGGACGCGCCAGGGCGGCAGAAGCCACGGATCACAGCACCGGCGTCTGGCGGGGCCCGGGCCCCAGGTCCTTGAGCGCCGACTCGCGGGCGCGGGCGATGTGCCTCGTGCGCCGCGCCTGCTCGCGCGCGTCCTTCTGCGTGCGCACGCGCAGCCGCTCCGCCGCGTGCTCCTGCACGCACTTCTCGAATTGCTCTGCGCAACCGACGTTGTATAGTTGGTCAATCTTGGCGATAACAGCTCAATCAAAATACTACCAATTTATTTAAATACCTGATTGACCAATTTTCAAGGAATGCTACCACACGTTTGTTACTGGTTTGGTAAAAAACCCGATGCTGCCCTATATTGGAAATCCCTCACAGCAAGTACAAACGCGTGCCCAATTCCAGCATAGTCGAGTTTTTGAAATTTGCTAACTAGCCAGACAAAAGTCGCTATTTAGCAAAAAACTAGATTTAGTCGGTCCGCCGTTCAAAAGTTATAAGGGCGCTTTACTGTCGACATTTCTGAATGTCGAAAATCACAACACCTAGATTAGATCTGATTGCACTTAGAAAAAGTCGTGAATTAGTCTGTTCTAGTCGCAAAATTTTAGAATTAGTCGCTCCTTTGTTTAGAAGATATTGGATATTCAATTATTTTCATTGATAATTATGAACAAAGACGCTAAAGGTTGTTTAAATATAGCTTTTGCGTACTTGGATGGCAAAAATCCGTGGTAGTGTAGTTTGAGTTCTGTCTACCCCAATGGGAAAAGGGCATTATAGAAAAATACATCTAACAAGTGTGACAGCATTGTTACTTAATTTAAATATTTTTGATTACCAGTACTTTTGAAAAAGGTATTATTACAACTAGAATGCCACCCACCGATAACACCCCAGCATTTACCGCTACTCGAGTACCCTGGCGTGTTGTAGCAGTCCAGGACGACATTCATAGACTCTTCGCAGATCGTTCCGATATTCGCTAGGTTTGCCGTCCGCATTTCTATCCGTTTTACAGTCGCATCCACATCTTCTATAGTCAAACTGAAAAAATAACAATTAATCCTTAGGCTCAATTTATATGTGGCGGAACGGAATGGAAGCGAATTTTTTAACGTTATTGTACATAGCATATTGAACTTTAATATATTAAAAAAACCGCAATAAAAATTGAGCTTTAGTGACTGATAATTCTTTCATTTTTCGAGTTCTTAGGTTTTCGCGATTGTTACACATAGGAAATGAAACTATTTTTCCGGATTTAAATCGCGTATATATGTTTTTTCAAACAAACCGACGTTTCGGGCCCTTTACAGGTCCCATGGTCACGGTTGACCAGTCAATTGACGAGTCGGTTTGTTTGAAAAAACAAATATACGCGATTTAAATCCGGAAAAATAGTTTCATTTCTTTCATTTTTGTCATAAATAACGGAGAAAGAGGTAGGTACGATATTCCACTAATTATAAATTGGCACCGCCCCGACTGGCCCTAATCATTTCCTGCATCCAGCGATACCGACGACGTTATTATACGTGTCACGGCTTAATTACTCCACAAAGTCTACCATGTAATAGTAATGCTACCCTGAGGGTTGAGCAGTTGGTGTACCGCCACTGTGTACATTTTAATTCATTTGTGATGAGAGTGCCAACTCAACATCTGTCGACCTTCATGAAAGATGAGTTTTGGCCGAAGGGGGTCATGTACCGACGTTTCCGAGGCCGGCTATCGAACACCCACGTTTCGTCACACGCCGCAGACAATACGTGTAAATAATAATTAGTCAGTAGTGTTTTTATTGTATTATTATGTATGTTAGACTATAAGGTATGTATTTATGGGTCTTTGTTACCTGAATGCAAATAAATAAATAAATGAAAAAAAGTAAGGCGGCTATTCACGGCTGTGATATAAAGCGCGCTGATTTGTACTTACGGGCGAGCTCGCAAAACGGACGAGTCCGGGTGGCCTCGGGCCGACGCGAGTTGAGGCGCGTATTCGAGTTTCTATGGAGAGCATAAGTCGCGCGCACTTTCGCGCCCCGCCTTTGGAGGTACCGACCAGTGGCGGATCCGAACAGGCCTCCTCGGGCGCGCTCGGGCGGCCCTCTTTACACGCGCGCAGGCTGCCAAACGAGCCATGGGAAGCCACCTTAAGAATGTCTATCATTTTTAACCGACTTCAAAAACCGAGGAGGTTCTAAATTTGACTGTATTTTTAATAAGACTTAACTGGATTATATATAATATATCATATTTAACTGAGCGCAGTTTTTATGTGGTTATTAATGGATACACCTCAGAAAAGTGTGGCATTTCATCTGGAATACCTCAAGGGTCGCATTTGGGACCTGTATTGTTTAATATGTTTATTAATGATATCCCTGACGTTATTCAGCGGGACTTGGACCGTTTGTGCCAGTGGTGCATGGATAACAATATGTTTCTTAATCCCTCAAAGTGAAAAGACAACCCATTTAGGTTTGTATAAAATATCAATAGTGCTACATTAAATGAGGTCGACAGTATTAGAGATTTGGGCGTGACAATTGATAAAAAACTTACATTTTTGCCTCACATGGAATAAATTATAAAAAAAGCATCTAGGATGCTGGGATTTATAATACGAATTGGCGAAGTCTTTAGAAGGCCATGTACTAGAATTTTAGTATACAATAGTTTTGTAAGGACTATTTTAGAGTATGGGAGTATTGCTTGGAGGCCACATTATGCGGTTCACTCTCTTAGGTTAGAACGAATTCAGAAAAGGTTCTTGTGGCATTTTAGTTATTTACGAGGTTTGGGTAAAAAGAGTGTCTCGTACGACACCCGTCTCAAGTTCTTCAAAATATTCTTCTCCTTTATCTTTGCAACGTGAAATGCTTGATCTAGTATTCTCATATAAACTAATTAACAATAAAATTAATAGTCCGCAACTTCTCTCTAAAACAGTTTAAACTACCCTCTCGTCTACCAAGGTATCACGTAAATCTTTTTCACCCCCCAGTGCGCAAAAGTATCCTAGGTTCAAATTCTCCGTTTGCTCGATTTGCCAGCCTCGTCAATGCTCTACCTCTTGAAATGGATATCTTCGCAGTCTCATTGCCTCGCTTCACGAAGTCAATATTGCAGTTTTTGGCGTATAAGTTAATATTATTTGTAATGTAAACTACTCAAAACAATTTAGGGCCCACTCGAATATTACCGAGAATTCGACTGTTTTTTTTTTTGCCTGCTGCTTTGTAAATTTAAGTGGATAATCTTCAATTGCATAATGTTTACAGATTGTTTAACGTTCGGAATGTTAAGTTTGAGGTGGTTCTTAAGTGGGTAGATGAAAAAAATAAAAATGAGTAAATTCCGCATATTACGCACTTTTCTAATCACTTGTGTTCTGCATCCCATAGCAAACACAGGTTGAAATCGGACCGGTGTTTATCATTTGTTTCGATGTTTGCGCTTTGTCTACAATAACAACGTCTGGAATTCGACGCCATATGGACCCGGAAACCGCTTACAGAGCAGTAGTTTTGCTTCAAGAAGGCAATTCACAGAGATCAGTAGCTTTAAGCCTCTGTGTGTCTCGGCATGCGATTCGAAATGTTTGGAAGCGTTATCAGGAGACCGGTAGTGTTACTAGACGACAAGGTGGAGGCAGAACTCGGTCCACCACCTCCCATGAAGATCGGTACTCGACTTACTGCACGTAGAGAGCGCACCATGACTGCGCGTACCTTACAAAATCGCTTACGTGAAGCTACTGGCACCCGAGTGAGTGATCAAACGATACGAAACAGGCTCCATGAATACAGAATGCGTGCTGTACGACAGAAATTGAGCAGGGCACATCGTGCAGCGCGTTTAAGATTTGCACGTGAACATCTCGAATGGACCATGGACAACTGGAGGACAGTGCTCTTTACAGATGAATGTAAAGTTAAGTTTTACAGTGATGACAGACGGGTACGTGTCTGGAGGAAACCAGGAGAACGTTTTTTGGATCCCTGCATTCGAGAAACTGACTGCTTTGGTGGGCCCAGTATTATGGTGTGTGGTGGAATCAGCCTAATTGGTAAAACGGAGCTGGTATTCCTGGATGAGGGCAACGTGAACGCTGCCAATTACGTCCAACAGGTCATCCAGCCTCATGTGATCCCATATTCACAACGAATTGGCCGAGACTTCGTCTTGATGCATGATAATGCACGTCCTCATACGGCCCGTATGATCCAAAGCACACTTTCGGAAGTCAACATCAATGTTTTGCCGTGGCCCGCCTTGAGTCTCGACTTAAACCCAATTGAGCACTTATGGGATCAGCTGAAACGAAGCCTCAAAGAACAGTTTACTGCCATCCACAGTCGTCAGGAACTAACCAATGCACTAAAACACTGCTGGGAACAAATTCCTGTCGAAAATGTAACTCACCTTATAGAGAGTGTCCCAAATAGGCTCAGGGAATGTGTAAGGAACAGAGGAGGGCCTACACGTTACTAAACACCACTGGTATTTAACTCCTGCCATCGTGTTATAAAATTAAATGTTTTTGTGCCACAAAAATGCAGGTTGAAGTTCAGTGACTTTTTTTCAAAATTGTGCAACTTATGTTTTTTTACGGTAACAGTACTGATATGTACTGATATTGCGGCTTTGCAAACGTATAATTAGTTTTTTAAATAAAAAAAATACGTAAATTATACACAAGTATTTTTAATTTCTTTTTTTGACAAAAAATGTTAGTGGGCCCTAAGTTGTTTTGAGTAGTTTTGTTTATTTTATAATTTACTTTGTTAATACAGTAAACATATGTAATATAAGTAAAGTAAAAAAACAGTAAATTAATAATAATTGTCTTAACTTTCATACTCATCATGGCATGTTCACCTGTAATTGGTTAAGCATTTTAACTGTAACACCCTGTCGAATGTGTGTAAAATATTGTTGTAACCGAATGTATTAAGCGTTGGTGAATTTAAATAAATAAATAAGACGACCTCGGTGGCATTACGCTTGACGAGTACACTAAAGGTTTTCGAGTTCACTGTGGGCGCTGGATACAGAGATTCAGGACTCGATTCTGGATAGGATCAATTTGGAAAATGTACTTTTCTAAATTAGTCCTGGTCTGTGCGTCCTGGGAAGTGCCCTAGAATGAATTTTGTTGTACATAGTATAGCAAATCCTCTAGTTTCAGACCAGGTGATTGCTGTGTTTGTCTGGCACATTACATTATATGTATTTTTTTTTTTACATTCGTGTACCGATTTCGATGATTCTATTTTGTTGGGCAGGGGGTACTAAAGTAGAGGTCCCGTTCTATTTGAACAAAATATTGATATTTTTGAATTTCAGCCACTTTCCATGACCCGTTTTCAATAAAACTTGGAACCTAGGAGTGTATTTAAATAATTGAGCTCCAAAATGCTCTAATTTTTATTTTATATGAGTACTTTATAAAAGTATATTTTCCTCCTTTATTCCACCCGGAAATCGTGTCACGGTACTTCTCATCTAGAGCCGATAGTGCAATTCGTTAGGCCACTGAAGCTACATTAGGCTACTAAACAATAAGGGTAGATTATTTTCTTTTAGGGTGGATTACACTTAGAATGTAATGCATTTAATTTGTTTTTTATTCAATATCTACCCAGTTTTCTCGGAATGACTATCATCCAGGCACTTGAGTTTCTCGATGAAGATCTTGTCTTTATAGTCGCCTCGTGGTGCGTGCCCAGTGGCTGATGCCTTCGCAACCGCCGCCGCTGCACCTCCTGCTAAAGCCGCGTCTTCCACTAGACGTTCCACCTGAAACCATTACAATAAGCCATAATGAAAACCCCGTAGCGCGTCTCCAGAGTTTTTGTTTTATTTTTATGATATAAAGTGACGGGAAGAACAAGTCGTGCGCCTGGTGTTAAGCGACACGTCTGTCCATAACAGTCGCAGTGCCGCTCGGAGCTTGAAATTGCAAAAATCTGGGCATCGCCACTGCACCCGTCACACTGTGACATAAGTTGAAAAGTCCTATGTGCTTGTAGTTTCACCAGTACCCTTACCGTTCAAAACCGAAACGCAGTCATGCGCACACTAGAAATAGTTAAGGTGACAGTACTTCCCTGGACGAAATCTTCCACAAGGAGCTCTACTGCTACTAAAGTAACCAAGTTATAAAGTACAAAGTCGAATTGAAAAAGCTACTTTAGACTACTTAAGTCTTCATTCACACCAATACATATATATTTAAACATAATTTACTATACGTAAAAATGTAATCAAAGGGGCCTTTATTCAAAAACAACAAGATCTGCAACAAGCACATAGAAAAATTAGTAATGCCCGCCAGTTCGTTCCGTGGCTTGGTTGGCATAGCGTCTGACGATTTGCTGGAAGACGTGGGTTCGAATCCAACCGAATCGACGGATTTTTTTCTAAGTGTTCGATAAACTTAATAATGTAATTTAGAAGTCAGTGCCAGCGCTAGCCTATAGCGCCCCGGGTGCAATCAATAGCATTGATTCAATACCCTGGCGCCATTGACTTACATTATATGGACGTCGGGTCCGCGCTAAAGTGTCCGAACCTATAGGGCGTTAAAATCGTATACAGAGCGTCATTCACGCTTTAGTCTTCGTTTGTTCGACTGACAGCGAAGCAAGCAAAATTAGACAGTACTGCGATGACATTACAATTTAAATTAAACGTTTTAGCTTTTTCATATTCCTTTACATGTCACTACGTTTAAATAGGTTGACTTGGGACATTTTTTCGTGGTTTTTGTATTAGACCCGTCGTCCATTTATTTGTAAGTCAATGCTTGGCGCCCTCTAATAGGCACGCGATCAAAATTGAATATTTACAGTTATATTTTCCCCAGTATTCGGAAATTTCGGTGCAAATGGTGCAATTATAAATGATGTTGGGAAGCAAACGCAGGTACTTTGGAGCGCCCTTTGCGCCGAACACCTTGCACCGTAAATAAAACCTTCGCTTACAATGTAGCATGGAGTACATACTGTCCTTACATTCATTCTATTGACCAATTCGTTCACTTTCGTAACAAAAGACCACAATGTCTTCTGTTACGTGTTTATGACGAAAGTCATCTACTCTATTCATGGCAAACATGCCAGACGCACTACACCGTCGGGGTAAATGCAGAAATTAAACGAAATATAGGTATTGTTGTAATGTACATTTATAACATGAACTTTGACTTCGATTGAACAAAAATGACGAGCAAAGCCAGTTTTTCGTATTTGCAAAACAATTTATTTTTCTAAGAATTAGAAAACAGTTAGTGATGAGAAGAGTTAGTGTTCAATATTTGTATTAATAATTTGAAAAATGTTCTTAGGATCGTCACTGACTTAAAGTTGTGCACCAATTTCCAAGCACCAAGTTCCATATTTGATATGTATTTCATTTCTGATCGGATTAACCGCGTTTTTTCTATAAAGGATCTTGGTGTAGTCTTTGACTTGCGCCTCACTTTTCACGATCATGTCGTGACACTTGCTGCCGACTGCTTTCGAAGACTGGGCTTTGTGATCCGCAACGTCAAAGACTTTCAAGATTTTGGTGCTATACGAATGGTCTATAATGCTTTAGTGAGAAGCAAACTTGAGACGTCATCGCTTATATGGCACCCGCATGAAGCTACGTATACATCTTTGATAGAAAAGGTTCAAATAGCTTTCCTTAGATTTTTCTACAAAAAAATGTACGGCTATTATCCGTTTTTGTATCCGACAAAGTATTTACTGGGGACTCTTCAGTATAATTCCCTTGAGGTGAGGCGGAACAACAACCTGCTGGTATCTGTTTCTCAGGTATTACGCGGCGAGTCGGACTGTCCTGAGCTAGTGCTTGCTGAGGACAGCTTGTATAAGGCTCTTTGTCCCAGACATTCCTAAAATAGTTTTAAGAGCGCGACGTCGTGAACTATTCACAGTCCCACCGGTGCGTACCGTATCGCGTAGGAACTCACCACTGCTCCGTGCCCTCGCAATGCTCAATCAACTCTTGGCATCAGCACCGGAGTGTGATCTGTTTGCATGGCGATGGGCGGCTGTGTGCTGTGAATGCCTGAGATTTTGTGAAGCGATGGATGATAGTGAGTCAAGTATAGTGCTATAGTTTAATTTATTATTTCAGTCTTTGGTTTTTTTTTCATTTTTATTGTTATTTTTTAATTAGTTTGGTTTCACGGCGCATTGGTTATGGAACTGTAATGCCGTGTAAACATATTTACAATAAATAAATAAATAAAATAATTAAATTTATAAATGTGTCCCATTACTGGTGTAATATAAACTAGTTTTCACTTACAGTTACACTTATATATTCAAATCCTTACATGCACTTGCATATTGAATAGGTTACTTTAGATCAGTGTTGGGCAAAATTTAATTGTTCTGGCAATTAAAGATTGACAATTAATTAATTGTCAATTGCGAAACAGCAATTAACGATTGATCAATTGTTAGTTGCGAGAACCGCAATTAACAATTAATCAATTGTTAATTGCGGTTCTCGCAACTAACAATTGATCAATCGTTAATCGCAAATATCTACAATTAACAATTAATCAATTTTCAATCTTTTCAATGTTTTTGATTAACAATTAACAATTAAAACTGACAATTATGATAAATTTATATGGGGGTGAGTTAGCGCGTTGGTTATGGGGGCCCCGGTAGGGGGCCCCTCTTGTGGGCTCGGTTGGGGGCCCCGGTTGTGGACCCGGTTGGAGGGCCCCAGGGCCCCGGTTGATGGCCCTAGTTGGGGGCCCCAGTTGGGGGCCCCAGAGGGGGCCCCGGTTTGGGGCCCCAGTTGGAGGGCACAGTTGGGGGCCCCAGTTGGGGGCCATAGGTGGGGGCCCCGGTTGGGGACCCCGGTTGGGGGCCACAGTTGGGGCCCCAGTTGGGGGCTACAGTTGGGGCCACTGTTGGGGGCACCGGTTGGGGGCCCTAGTCGGGGCCCCAGATGGGGGCCCCAGTTGGGGACCCCAGTTGGGGGCCACAGTTGGGGGCCCCCACTAGGGCCCCCAACCGGGCCCCCAACTATGACCCCCAACTGGGGCCCCCACCTGAGGCCCCAATTGTGGCCTCCAAGTGGGGCCCCCAACCGGGGCCCCCAACTGGGGTCCCCAACCGGGGCCCCCAACCGGGGCCCCAACTGGGGCCCCCACTGGGGCTCCCACTAGGGCCCCCAACCGGTGCCCCAACTAGGGCACCCAACCAGGGCCCCCAACTGAGACCCCAATCTGGGGCCCCAACTGGGGCCCCCAACTGAGGCCCCCAACCGGGGCCCCCAACTGGGTCCCCAACTAGGGCGCCCAACTAGGGCCCCCAACCGGGGCCCTGGGGCCCTCGACCGGGCCCCCAACCGGCCGGAATTGATTTTAATTGCAAATTTAATTGCAATTAAAATCAATTCAATTGAAATCAATTGCAATTAAAATCAATTGCAATTAAAATCAATTGCAATTAAATCAATTGCGGCGCGTCGCAATTGATTTAATTGCAATTGATTTCAATTGAATTGATTTTTTAATATGATTGAATTATTGATTGAAATTTAATTGATTAACGCCCAACACTGCTTTAGATACACCATTCAGACTTTATTACATTTATTATTTTAAAGAACAATTTCCCTCCTAGTCGTTTAGGTCTTTCATTACAAATAACTTCTAGATTTAGTCTCGTTGATTCTGACTGAAAACCAGCGCCTTAGGGCTCTTACACATAAATACGATACGCCGTCGCGTCGTAGCACGACGACGTCGTCGTACCCCAGCGAGCCCCAAGGGCTCTTACACATACGACGTAAGTCGTATCATGTTTATACATAAGAGCCTTTAGGGAACTTAGGCATATGCTGAGTCAGCACCATTTCACTGCGATGACAAAAGATGTTTTATTTTTAACCGACTTCAAAAAAGGAGGAGGTTTTCAATTCGACTGTATGTTTTTTTGTATGTGTGTTACGCGATAACTCTGGTATTTATGAACTGATTTTCATGATTCTTTTTTTGCTGGAAAGAGGGTACATCCATAGTGGTCCCATTTCATTTTGAAGAAAATCAACCACCTCTAAGGGTAGCTGATCACGCATGAACATTCATTTTTATACATAGCGCCTAAATTTTACTTAAGGAGCAATTATTTTAATGGTTGGTTTTGCTATTCTCCAATACAAGGCGTTTTTCTCTCTCAATATACTTTCGAGTAGTGAGAACAGATTTTTATTATCTCCTGTGTCAAGTCCTGTACAGTGGCGAATTAGGCAAATAGATGTAACAATTCCACGTACTTTTGAGGTCGGTTTTATTAGTAGGTACTCTGTACTGAGATTATTGGTTATTCCCGTTGTATTCAATCTGTATTTGTGTCATACTAGTGAATAAAGTGTTTATCTATTTACCTATCTAGTTAATACGTAAAGTAAACCACATATCTACATTTGTAAGTACTTAATCAATTATTTTAATCTTACTCCTATGTACAAACGAATGCCGTGGCAACTTATTAGTGAAACAACACAATAATTCAAGCCACAACATTTATTGTTTTGATCATTTTGTTTGTGTATGTTTAGTAAGTTGTCCTAAATAAATAAAGTAACTAAGTTATTAGTGATAGATAAGTAAGGTTTTAAATAGGCATTATTACAATGACCTTGTTACGAGGGTTCCGTTACCTCGTCGCTTACATACTATCTCGCGAAAGGATTCAAGTTTCGCAAAACGTGAGAGGAATGACAATAAGCACACGCTGGCAATGATACAAGTGATTCTACTCATTCAGATTCTGCAGAGGAGATTCGACTGTAACCGTTTTATCCATAATCGGGAGACATGGAACAACTTTGGACTCTATCAGCTTGTACGCAAAAAAACTCAACAAATCTTACCGATGATAGTATCGTTATAAGTAGGTAATGAATGACACAGGTGGGTAAAAACCAAATTCCAAAGTTATTTTTTATTAAGTTCCTGTTGCATTTTTCCTGTACAAAATGGTCAAATGGTATTATTTCGATTAGTGTAAACTTAAGTAATTCATCGTTTTGTCGTTGCTTCGACCTATAAGCAAAGTCCAAGAAGTATAACTTATACTAAGAGAAATGTACTTCTAACATTTTATTACAGCCTCTGATAAAAATGACGTCTCCTAAGGGCGCGTTCCCATTATGTCGTAACGTTTTATTGACCGATAGACGACTGTCGCGTCTAGCCTGTTCCCATATCACGCTATCTGTCGTGACTGTGTCATCATTCATCATCATCATTCAGCCATACGACACCCACTGCTGGGCAAAGGCCTCCCCCAACGATCTCCACGACGATCGGTTCTGCGCTGCCCGCATTCATCGGCTACCCGCGACCTTTACCAGATCGTCGGTCCACCTGGTGGGGGGCCTACCCACTGCGCGTCGTCCGGTGCGCGGTCGCCATTGAAGAACCTTTCCGCCCCAACGGCCATCGGTTCTCCTAGCTATGTGCCCCGCCCACTGCTACTTCAGCTGAGCAATTCCTCGAGCTATGTCGGTTACCTTAGTTCTCCTACAGATTTCCTCATTTCTGATTCTATCACTTACGGAAATACCGAGCATAGCTCTCCATTGCCCGCTGAGTGACCTTGAGCCTTCTTATGAGGCTCATAGTGAGAGACCACATTTCTGATCCATATGTGATCACTGGTAACACACACTGGTCAAAGACTTTCGTCTTAAGTAGAGATGGTTAATATAATATATAGGTCAAATTATAATGTTAAATTAAAAAATTATTATAGCAATTACAATTTGAAAGACATAAAGTGCTAAAATTATAACAAACTTTTTTTCACTTTGGACTGGAGAACGTTAAGAAAATTAAACCAAAAGCGATCTAGCGACATAATTTTACAATATTTCAATGCCATACCATCAATCTATCCGTGCTTTATTTACGCACTGACAAACAAAATCCTTCTTCATCCTGAGTTATCTCCCTTAATATTTCATAGATGCCACTAGATTCTATGTGTATCTAGCGGCTCTTATCATTGGATGAAACAATTATAACGTGAAGTACTTTCACATATTATTTGTAGCATTTAACGTTTGGTGCGAAACGCGAAATAGCTGATTGGTTTATTGATGTTAAATTTCACGTTTGAGTACGCTAAACGCTAATGCTACATTTAGCACTTAGCAAGTATTATAATTGTAGTTATGTTATAAATTATAATTTTGGTTACGTTTTATAGTATTAGTGGTTTGTGGTTTTAATACGATTTTAAGTACTTGGGTTTATTTAGTTAATTTAGCGTTTGTTTATAAGTCGTTGTAATATTTGTATATAAAAGTACGAGTGTGTGCGTTATTATTAATTATTGTAATTTACTGTAAATAACCAGTGTAAAGTTTTATGCAAATTGTAAATAGTAAATTGATAAAGTATGAAGGGAAGCTCATTGATTTATCGTCTATAACCTGTGACCACCATATTATGTAATAGTTACAAAACAAATGAAGTCGGTCGTAACTAACCATAAAAAACTGTAAACTACTGTATAGATAGATAGACCATAGATGCTATACTTAACAATTTAGCGCACGTCATTATAACTATTTTACGTTTCTTTCCATTCGTTACATTATCACACGACCTTGAGCTGCTAAAAATTTTAATTTTAGCACTTTAAATAGCGCGCTATAAAAATTTAGCATTTAGCATGCTATGTGAATATAGCAGTTAATCTCATCTCTAGTCTTGAGACACTGAGGTAATTTGGACGCAAAGATTTTTTGTAGTTTCCCGAACACTGCCCATCCGAGCTGGATTCGACGAGAGATCTCTTTCTTAAAGTTGGACTTACCTAACTGGACTGTCTGCCCCAGGTATACGTAATGGTCAACAACTTCGAGTGTAATGCTCCCAATTTTAACTGGAGCGGGTACAACATGGACATTCGACATGATCCATCTGATTGATTTGATGATTGTCTATCTTAAGACCCACTCTTTAGGAAACACTACTAAGATCTTCGAGCATTGTGTTCAGGTCTCCCAAGGTCTCAGCCATAAGAATTATATCATCGGCAAATCGAAGGTGTGTTAGATACTCGCCATTGATGTTGATGCCAAGTCCTTTCCAGTCCAGAAGCTTGAAAATATCCTCCAACGCAGCGGTGAACAGTTTCGGAGATATCACATCTCCCTGTCTCACGCCTCGTTGCAGTTGGATAGGATTAGAGGTCTGATCCTGTAATCGGACTGACATAGTGGCGTTTTTGTATAAGTACCTTAACACCTCGATATACCTATTAGTCTACTTGGCATCTTTGGAGAGACTGCAGCACCGCCCAGGTCTCGATCGAATCAAAGGCCTTGTCAAAGTCCACAAACGCTAAGCAAAGTGGCCGGTCTTCTGTATAACCTGCCGCAGCGTATGGATGTGGTCTACGGTACTAAAATCCTTTCGGAAACCGGTTTGTTCCGGGTTGGAAGTCGTCAAACCTGCGAGCGAGACGATTCGTGGTAACTCTCGAAAACTGAAACGCGACTGTCGTGCAAGTTTATTTTATCTTTGAACGGCTGTTCCCACTAGACTCGTGACGATAATATATCGGTTCACGGCAGCGCCTTGTCATGTGCACGACGGAATCGTTTGAAGCTACGATTACTTGTCGTTACATTTTTATCGTTATGATTTATTTATCGTCGTACGACAGTCGTTCTAGTTCTTCCCATTGTTAATATAGTCTGACGTAGTAACGTCAAAAAAGTCGTGAACGACAGTTAATCGCGTTCTACTATACGTGAACAAATTCACTTAATTAAACAAGCCACGACACTTTAAACTGTACGATTATCTGTCGTCACGACGTAATGGGAACGCGCCCTTATATCCACTTGCTCTAATCTGAAGTACATCTTAACTTAAACCAATGCTCAAATTAATAAGACACTCGTGTCATAAAGCATTAAGGGCATTAATCAATTATCTTTTGCATTACAAGCATTGGTTTAAGATATACATAAGTTTAGTGCAAGTTGACATTAATACAATAAAGCCATATGTGATTGTACGTCAAAAGTGCTTCCTATAAAGTCTTTTAAATAATACGAACTTGAAATAAATTATGCATTATGCATTGACTTACAATTATATGGACGTCGGGTCCGCGCTAAAAAGTGTCCGAACTTATAGGGCGTTAAAATCGTATACAGAGCGTCATTCACGCTTTAGTCTTCGTTTGTTCGACTGACAGCGAAGCAAGCAAAATTAGACAGTACTGCGATGACATTACAATTTAAATTCAACGTTTTAGCTTTTTCATATTCCTTTACATGTCACTACGTTTAAATAGGTTGACTTGGGACATTTTTTTCGTGGTTTTTGTATTAGACCCGTCGTCCATTTATTTGTAAGTCAATGGCATTAGGTCTTTTTTATGATACTAAGTGACGGGACGGACAAGTCGTGCGCCTGATGGTAAGCGACACGCCTGTCCATAACAGTTGCAGTGCCGTTCAGACCTTTAAATCGCAAAGAACTGAGGGGCACTGTCACTGCGCCTGTGTGTTCCAAAACCGGAACGCAGTAATGCTGACATTACCGCTTGGCGGCAGAAATAGGTAAGGTGGCAGTTCTTCCCTGGACTAAGTCTTTCACAAGGAGTTTTACTATTAAAAATTTGAAATTTTACAACTCTCCCTGTTTACCCGAGACACTAGCCTCTCGAAGAACCGGATGAAGTTAAGTGACAGAGGTCTGTGACAACCCTGTACACTGGCTGACCTGGGGTCAGAACCTGAACTTGTAAGGTTCCTGTATGCGCACAGGTACCCTTCTCGTATGCCATATGGGTGGGCAGGGAGGGTTACTATAATAAAAACTAACGCATAAAGATATGGAGCTTCTCCCTATTTAAGCCTACAGCTATAACCAATATGGAAAATAGGAGGAAAATGGAAATGGAGGGCGCTGTACGTGCGCCATCTCACCTAAGGCACTAACCTTACAGAGAACTGGATGAAGTACGGGCAAACGTGCTGATCCGGGGTTAGGACCTGGCCTAGATGGTCCCTGTGCGAACAGATCATAGTGCCCTTCCCGCATAAACAAGAGGTTGATAGGGAGAGGCACTATAAACAAAACTTATGTAGAAAGATTTGGGACTGTCCCCCTATTTAAGTATAAATAAGTTATCAACTAATTTTGCAGGTGTGACCTTTATTAAGGGTGGTAATTAAAGGTGTAGTTACAAAATGTGTTTTCATGTAAGAACTGACCATTTTGTTAGAAATACTGATGTGGTTTTCATTGTCATCGTCGCCGTTCTCGTCGGGCTCGTGTGTTTTTTCGGGCCTTCGTCTGTTGTCCTCGTCTTCGGGCCTATGGTCATTGTGGAAGTGTGAAGCGCGCACTGATTGCTCGTTGCCCATTACAATTGTCTGGAAAGAAATGTATAATAAATTTTAAATACACATTGCGGCACATTTAGTGACACAAAAAGATATAGTGAGAGTATAAAACAGTCGGGTGATTTTCAGGTGAGTTTTTTGTTATTTGAATATTTTACAATGTCATCATAAAGTATTATTTAATATTCCACGATAAATTACTCAATTACTTAAATAACCGAAATTAGCTAGAGTAAACTAACTTGAAAATTTGGTAATTTTCAGGTTTATAATTAAATAAGAACTAGATATACAGTAAATGACATCGTTTAACATCGAATTAGTACACCCTTACTCAATCTTTATTGAATGAAATCAAAATTAAATTAAAAATAAAACTGCCCTCTAAAGTTCGTGGATTTACACTTATTTGCCACCCTTAGAGGTGGAATATTTTCAGCAAATTTGAATGGGACCAATACTGAGGTACCCTCTTTTCAACGAAAAAGAACCATCAAAATCGGTTCCCAAATGCCGCGGAGTTATCGCGTAACATACATACAAAAAAAATACAGTCGAATTGATAGCCTCCTCCTTTTTTAAGTCGGTTAACATACGACACTTTTCTTTTAGATTTTGTGACGAAGTGGAAACGGTTGAAAATTTAAAAATTGTATCAGTTTAACAATGTTAAATCAAAGTTTAATAAATAAAAATCCTTTATATCAAGACTGTCTTGTTTATTATTGATTTCTTTTATTTTGCGAACTAATTCCACTAGTTTGCTATAATTGTTAAATACAAAGATCGAACACAAAGAAAAAATCTCCCCGACAGGACTCGAATCTGCTACCTTGTCTTGTCATAATTAGCGCATTTGCAATTTGGAAACTTTCGGGATATTGGCATCTGAAGTTTTTTCTTTGAAAAATTTCAATTGCGCTGATTTTAGCTAACAATAAAACTAAAAGTAAATAAAATATTAAAAAACCGCTTAGAGGAGGTTGTAGTCAGGGCATGCAAAAACCGAGCGAATTTGAAAACCGGTTTTTACGGTTTTTAGTTTTAGGCTACCCGGTTACTTGTTTTTTTTTTCCGTATTTTTTTATTGTCACCCAAATAATTCTTTAAAAGTGTCACAAATCTAAAAAAAATCAAAGTAGTGTTTTGTAGATTATTTTTATTACTTATATATTGAATTCACAGCTTCAATGAGATCAATCAACTTCTCGAATTATAATAAAAAACAAATCGACAACACTAACATGCTAAAATAAATATGCATATTTAGAGACAAACAATGAAACATCTTTTTCAGTCTAATTCTATATAGTATTACCAGCTTTGCTGAGTGTGTGCGTTGAGTGTGTGTTGAGTGTGTGTGAGCTTTTAACTTGAAAATCGAACATACGAACATAATTACATAAATATTTCTTAAATCGTAAATACTAGTCATTAACAGGTCCCGTTTTTATTTCTGAAATACGTAGTAAGTAGCCTGTGGCTCAAAACAGCTTTGTCTCTAAATTTATTTGTCGCTAAAAGAAACTTTTAGCTTGCTAAACATTCGTAAAATGCACTGAATCTAGCAACTAAGTCGCTCAAACGGCAGTACTGCCCAGGAAGGAAAAAATCAAACCATATACATTTTTTTAAACCTCACTTCACTCGGCGCTCACTACCCAAAAGTTAGCGGCACCCATCATGCCGACGCCGTCGCTGCGCTGTAGTCGGGTACCCGAGATCCTAACATTTAGTTCGCGTTTATTTATCATTATTAATCACGATACGATGATATTATGAGTTACGAATTTACTTTTGAATAGTTTTAAGGCAAAACCGAAAACCCCGAAAAACCCGGGTTTTCCTTAGCTGAAAACCGGGTTCCAGAATGGATGGTTAGGGCGCGTTCCCATTATGTCGTGACGACAGATAGTCGTGTAGTGTAAAGTGTAGTGGTCTGTATATTTAAATTAAGTTGTTTACACATAGGTCTACACGATTAACTGTCGTTCACGACTTTTTTCACGTTACGACGACAGACTGTCGTCACAATGGGAAGAGCTAGAACGACAGTCGTCCGACGAGAAATAAGACGTCACGATAAAAATGTGACAACAGCTATTCTGTCGTGCAAACGACAAAGCGGCGCCGTGAACCGATAAATTGTCGTCACGATGTAGTGGCTAGTGGGAACAGCTAGACAATATGACAGTCGTTCATAAAATAAACGTCGACGACAGAGTCACGACAGATAGTCGTGATACGGGAACAGGCGTTACGTGACGTATAAATAAAACGTTACGGCATAATGGGAACGCGCCCTTACTCTGTTTTTTCGGTTAAGCGAGTATTCCAGATATGTTAATAACTCAAAATGTCGAGTATGTTCGCTATGGTGAGAGAGCAGTAAAGTTTAGGAAACAAATGGATGAAAAAAAATGACATTCGACTATTTTTTATTTTAAAACTAGACCTAAAATAAAAATACACATTCTACAAGGCGGATTTGCCAGTACAGATGTCTATTCATATCAACCTAACAATTATCAGGATTGACGATCGCGCTACATTTGCATTTGCCATCAACATAAGTACGGGTCTACAAAGGTTAGCTTGTCGCTAAGCAGCTCAATATTGACTGATTCAAATAGCTGTTTTTAATAAAATTATTTATTTAATAAAATTTATTATTTTTAATAAAAGCAAGAAATAAAAGAACGCCAAAACAAACGTTCGTCTCGTGAATAAATCCAAGATATCCTTATTTATTGGCGCCATTAAGGCATTAGGATTGCTCTGAATAAAATTATATTAAAGTCCTCATCATTTGACACGGATCATTTATTATGGCACGTGTCTTTGATAATTTTATACTCTGAATTTCCAGAGTCAACGCTCGATTTACAACAGTCTATTACTGTATAGATGCCTGTACCTATAAAAGCAGGATTTGCCATAATCGTCATATTCTACAGCCGGAATAACGGTAAAGTTTCAATGTGGATTTTAGTAGCAGTATACGATGAGTCTGAATCTGGTATATTTTCAAGATTTCCTTGTATTTCGAGGTTTCCTTGAGCATGTTTGATTCTGTTTTGACGCTACTTATAGAATATAATGAAATGAAGCATTTTCCACACACAAGTGAAAATGTTCAAATTGTTAGTTTGGCCCTTATACTTAGGACCTATCGATACCTATAGAGCTCATGGTGAAAGAGGTCGTCCAGAGAAGTACTGTCACCTACTTATTTGTGCCGCTAAATTTTACTGCGTTTCGGTTTTGAATATTAAGGGTGCTGGTGAAATTACAGGTACATGGAACTTGTCAACTTAAGTCTCAGGAAAACAGGCGCACTGGCAGTGTTCCTCAGATCTTTGCGATTTAAAGGCACTCTAATTCGTCGGCACTTTGCCTCATTATTGGTATCCGCTGGCGAAGTCCAGATGTGCGCTATAGCATGCTTGTGCACTAGCAACGATAAGTCTGTGAGGTCTATATCAGTGTGCAATACAAAATAACGCATATTGACAATGCCCAACTTATTGCGGGGTTCAACTCTATTTATTTATTTATTTATTTTTTTATTCACAATATAAATTTACAGCGCAAGCCAAAGCACTTATATGCTAGTCACTATACATTAATTACAATTATAATTAAATTAAATTACATAGGTACTCTGCTTTAAATTTTTAAAAATTCATTGAGGAACAAAATAGCATGCTTTAAGAATGCATTCGAACTGTCATAGAATATGTCGGCATGTGACTGTTGTGTGAGCAATTGGTTGAGCAAAGAAGTCGCTCGAACAGTAGGTGCATGTGCGCCACTGCAGGTGCGCGAGCGAAGCGTCGCGAACAAGGGACGCACGCGCCTCTGCAGCACCGCACCGTCGCCTCGCAAATATCGGTCAGGGACAAACAGACGCATCCGAGACACCACTGTCATGTTGTCAACCCTACCATTCAAAAGAGCGTGATAATGCATTATGAGCATTAGTTTACGCCTCAGTAATAGGCTGTCTAATCCAACCATTCCGTACACAAACATAGAAGGGAAAAGATACGGGTAGACATTGTACATCTTTTTATAAGCAAATCTTGCAAACCTTTTCTGTACCTTTTCTATCACATCACTATATGTGGTTTCGCGAGGGTCCCACACTGCCGCTCCGAACTCCAGTACACTGCGCACGTACGCCTTGTAAAGTATCAATGCCACCCTGAGTACAACTCTAAGTTCGTACGTAAAAGGTTATAGCATGAGCAGCCTACGTATGTCGGCAGACATGTTCTTTATATCTGTAGTGCCATCCAATCCATGTCTACGCGGCATAGCATAGTTAAAGTGTGAAAATAAACAGAGACCGGGTGAGGGTCGGGCGCGAGTCCAGTCGGAGCTCTGGGGGGTCTAATTTAGCAGCAATTTAGTGCAGTTCTAGCAGCAGTAGAGCTCCTTGTGAAAGAGTTCGTCCTGGGAAGTACTGCCACCTTACCTGCTGCTGCCGCCAAGCAGTAAAGGAGCTGGTGAAATTACAGGCACGTGGGACTTGTCAACTTATGGCTCAGGGTGACAGGCGCAGTGGCAGTCTCCGTGTGTTTCACGTTTTAGTGATATCCTAAACATTGTGTGATCCAAGTTTGTCTATAATTTCGAAATTCTAGTTTCCTCAGGTTCAAACCAATTCCAAATATTAAAATGCGGCGTCCAACCAGTCATCAATTTGTTCCGGACAACACATTATTATACGATGCAATGCATCCAGCATACGTACAGATAAATCTTTATGCAATACGAACATAAAAGATGCATCCATTATCGGCTCGAGAGTGTTGCAATTTGATCCCAACACGATTTCAATCGCCCGGGGGAAGAGGAAGTTTCCAACTAACAAACGTCTTTTTGTGGTTACCCAAACGTCTTTTTGATCTTGACTTTTGATTGTACGATTATTTCGATCTCATGTCTTTATGGTAATAGATTTGGAATTGTAGTTATTTTAGAGTTGTTTTACCTTTCTACGCTGTTTTGTTTATGCAAAATAA